TTTTATTCTTTAATAATAATTAAAATTAAAAAAATATTTTTAATTTATATTTTAAAGATATAGATTAAAAAGTCCCTTTATTTATTTATGAGATTGAGGAAAATTTTTGGTAATTAAAATATTTTTATGTTGAGGGCAAGGAAAAAAGAGAGAAAATTTTTTTTTATTTAATTATCAAAACAATTAAAATAAGGGGTCGGGTAGAATTTTTTTACTTTTTTAATTTATTTATACATTCAACAAAAAAAAAAAAGATGCGAAGGAAATAAAAAAAATATAATTTCTTTTATTTTCATTCTTCTCAACCCAAACTAATATTAATGAATCAACACTCAAAATAAATTTATTAAAAATACTTATATAACTTTATAAAAAATATTACCATTTAAAATGTTAAATTAAAACATCTTTATTTTACTTTTATGTCTTTTAGAGTCAATTACAGTATCATTTTATCAATTTATAATAATTTAATATCTTTTTAATCTTTCAACTCTAGTATTTTACATTAATTTGTTCCCTTAACTCAAAATTTCCCCTTTTTTTCTTTATTCCTCAGCATTAGAATTTTACACTTAATTTATCCCTTCGTCGATGTCTCGCTGACATGACCCATTAGACTAACCAAAAATCACACATTTGGAAAACTTTTATTGAAGTGAAGTTAACATGTCATACAATTTGTTTTATTAGACAAAATTTTTAACCACGTTAATATCAAATAAGTTAATTAATAAATTAAAATAAAAAACTTAATATCGAATTACTGATTTTATCCCATCTTCCTCCTTGCATAAATTAAAATAAAAAACTTAGTATCTCTCCCGTCATTAACTCTTCCTTAATTCCTTCATTTCCTCCCCTTCCTTGCATATTTGAACCTCTGCATTCTGGGTTCACAAACCCGACTCTTTTGGGTTTATTTGAACCCAGTATGGGTTCACAAACCGAGATCTTATGGGTTTGTTCAACCCCACTCTAAATTCAAGTAACCTATATTTCAGGATTTTGAGAACCCAAAATTCTAAGTTTCGAGTTTGATTTTAAATAGGTTTGTTAGAAGTGATCTCAAATGGTTTCTTTTTTGTTGCATAGGTTATGGGTTGGATGAATTGTTTTGAATATTTTTTTTTAATATATGTTGAGATGTAGTTATTGTATTTTGATTTGATGCTTTTTTACACTTATTTATGGTTGAAGTAACTTTTATACATTATATAAATAAAACTCATTACCTTTGGCTGATAAAAAAAATTTACTGCCTTAACTTGACCTTTTTCTTTAATTAATGCATTTTAATGCGTAATCTAAATTTTTTGTCAACTTAATGACATGTCCGCACTCTATTAATAAAGAGACCAAATTGGTGTGGCATTGATTTGTGAACACAAAAAAGTATACGATCGACTATTAGAAGCATTTTATATGCTTTACTATATTGTTTTAGCCTTAATTTTAATACTATTTACATGAATAATATATGATTTTCAATAGATTATACATAGTTTTCATTTTGTGTTGAAAAAGACTTGAGTGTTAATAATAAGAGTTCTTGAGATTAATTAAATATCCTTTTAAAGTTCAGGGACTGAATTGCCAGAAGAAAGGTTCCCTTTTGGGACCTAAATGAAAGAATCTTAAGTTATGGGATCAAAATGCTCATTGTGTAAAATCTGGAGGACCAGATCTGCTATTCTACCATTAAAGAAATTGGCAAATTGCAATAGAGAAACCCAACACGGGTATGGGGTGGACACATACTCCATGGTATCAGCACCATGCGTTATGCATTTTATAAAACAGATCCACCTGAAATAAACAGAAGTATTAACACCTAAACTTTCACGTCGACATTAAAGGCACGTCTAGTATTAGTAATTTCATTTTTTATTTTGAATCCTACTTCTTTTCTAATAGAGTTTTTTAAACTCTATAAATACTCATTTAAAAATCAAATTTAAGACTTTTGAAAAGATCAAAAGAATGACTAGAAAGGAACTTACATTAAAAGAGAATCAAGATTTAAGATTTTACATCATTAAACTACTTTTACTTACTTTTAAATTTTATTTAATAATATCAGATATGCTTATATTCATCATAAGATTTTTGATTTTTTTCTTTAATTGTGAACTAATTTAATCATTTAAGACTATGATGTAGTCTACTCAAATTGATATAAGATTTTATGATTTTTATATTTTCAATATTTATTATTTCATGTAAAGTATATATTATAATTTAAAATATTTTTTAATT